ACAACTCAGGAAGAAAGGGTAAGAATGGTTGGACAACTGGGAGAATGTAATCATGATTACTGAATTGAATGCAGATATTTGAATTGATGTATGCTTTTCTCAACAACAAATAGCAAAATAAATTATTTAAGTCAGTCAGTATAAAAGAAACGGGTTTCATTTCAGGAACAGACAATTCCAGGAGCATCAAGAAAGAAGAGCATGAGTGGAATGTGAGATTCCTACCTAGAAAAGCATTGATAGCAGAGATGGTGGCAGAGGTGTTGGCATGGATAGACAGAGCAGCTGCAGGCCCGTGGACTGAGCAAGGTTGTGTGCCTGCAGATAGAAAGGCAGCTTGCAGAATGTACCCTCTGGACATTCAAATGAATATATTTTTAAAATTTTGTATGTGTGCATCAAAAATTAAAAAGATAAGGTCTATTAAAAATGAAAAGAAAAACTTTTGCAGAATTAAAAAAAAAATTGGGGCTTATACAAGCCCATTGTTAAGTGTCATCGAGTTGGTTCTGACTCATAGCAACTCTGTATTGGGTTTCCAAAGAGGGGGCGAGCTACCAACTTTGTGGTTAGCAGTCCAGTGTTCATCCTATAGCACCACACCAGGACTTATCAATTATTAAATAACTTGCACATGTATTAAATACTTTCTGATGAGGACCAAAGACTACAATCCAGTATGGACTGCATTTCAATATAAAGAAAATGAGAATCTTCACAACTGGCCCAATGAATAGCATCATGATAAATGGAGAAAAGATTGCAGTTGTCAAAGACTTCAATTTGCTTGCATCCATAATCAATACTCATGGAAGCAGCAGTCAAGAAATCAAATGGCATATTGCATTAGGTAAATTTCCTGCAAAAGACCTCTTTAAAGTTTTCAAAAAAACAAGATGTCAGTTTGAGAACTAAGGTGTCCCTGACCCAAACCTTCGTATTTTCAATCGTCCCATATGCATGTGAAAAATGGGCAATGAATAAGCAAGATCACAGAAGAATCAATGCATTTGAATTATGGTGTTGGCAAAGAATATTGCATGTACCATGGACTGCCAGAAGAAGAGACAAATCTATGTTGGAAAAAGTATAGTCAGAACGCTCCTTAGAGGCCAGAATGGCAATGGCCAGACTTTGTCTCTCATACATCGGAAATGTCATCAGGAGGGACCAGTACCTGGAGAAAGGTATTCTTGGCAAAGTGGAGGTTCAGTGAAAAAGAGGAAGACCCCCAAGAAAATGGATTGGCACAGTTGCAGCAGCAATGGACTCAAGTGTAACAATTGTGAAGATGGCACAGAACTGGGCAGTGTTTCCTTCTGTTATGTGTAGGGTCACTAGGCATCAGAACCGACCCAATTCACAGACACTGTCCTGAGCTCCCTGGTGGACGTTGACCACTGACAACTCTCCCCCAAGATAGGCCTCCATAATCTATCAGTTAAAGGGGTAATACCAGGCCCAGCATGGGACTTCCAGGAGTCCTTCCTGATTGTTCAGCATCTGATTGGTTGGAAGGCATTCATCAACGCTATTAGATATTTTGAAAAATAATTTTTCATTCTGAGTATTACTTAGACCCAAGTATTAGTTTTTTCCTTGAGCGCTTTGGACAGAGAGAGGTTGGCCTCCTCTTTCTTGTTAATATCTAGAAAACAAACATCTCATCCAGTCACTACCAGAAGACTATAGTTTGGGGTCTAGATGAAGGATGAAAAGCAAGAAAACACTAATTTTTGTGGCGCTATGGGTTAATGTGTCAGACTGCAAAGCTGTTTGAACTGCAAGGTTGGTGGTTCAAGCTCACCAGCTGCTCTTTGGAAACCTTTTACAGGGTCACTATGGGTCAGAACCAACTCAGTGGCACTTAACAGCAACCCTGCTCCCTGACATCACTGTAGCGAACCAGCCTGAAATGATTTCCTTCCTCACCAGAGACAAAGGGAGAAATCTCTGCTTGTCCATTCAACATGAATCCAGTCCCTTTTTCTTTGGTGGGAATTTGAGGAATTGGACCCTCTTTATGTTTTTTTCTCGGAGTCCTGGTGCGTGGCGCTATAGGATAAGCACTAGACTGCTAACGTGAGGTCAATGTTCAAACCCACCAGCCGTTCCTTGGAAACCCTATGCAGGGTTCACTATGGGTTGGAACCAACTCAACAGCACTTAACAACAACAACAACAAGTCTTTTCTTGGAGCCCTGGTATCACTGTAGATAAGCACTGGACTGCAAACTATAAGGTTGATGGTTATAGTTTTCCAGACGGTCTGCAGGAGAAAGATGAGGCTTTCTGCTCCCACAGATTCCAAGATTAACAGCCTTGGGAACCCTATACAGGGTCATTATGATTTAGAACTGATTCGACAGCACTTAACAACAAGAAGTCTTTTTCTCAGAGCCCTGGTGGTACTACAGGATAAACACTGGACTGTTAACGGCAAGCTCAGCAGTTCAAACCCACCAGTCACTCTTTAGGGGAAAGATGAGACTGTCTGTTCCAGGAAAGATTTACAGTCTCGGAAAACTCATATTCGGAGTCGGAATCTACTTGATTGCAGTGGGTTTGATTTTTGGTTTAGTCTTTTTTCAAGTCCCTGGGTGGTACAAATAGTTAAGTACTTGACTGGAGGTGTCTTGGAAAACAAGCAATCTCCTTCCTGAAGATCCTAGCCTTGAAAATCCTGTGGAGCAATTCTACTCTGCACACACGGGATTCCCAAGAGGCACAATCAACTGGGTGGTAAGCAGCAACAGGAACTATCAACATTAACAATTAGCGTGGTGGCTCAGTAAGGTAAGCACTGCACTGTGAACCACAAGGTCTATGGGTCAAGCCCACTAGCCACTCTGCAGGACAAAGATGAGGCTTTCTACTCCCACAAAGATTTGCTGTTGTTAATTGCCATTGAGTCGGTTCCAGTTCATAGCAACTCTGTATAGGGTTTCCGAGGAGAAGCTGGTGAGTTTGAACCGTTGACCTTGCAGTTCAAACCGACCTTGCGGTCCAGTGCATTATCCTACAGCACCACACCAGGATTTAGAACTTCAGAAACACTATACGGGGTCACTACGAGTCAGCATCAACTCCATAGTAATTAACAACAACCAAGGTCTTTTTCTTACCCTGATTCCAGGCTAAAGCCATGCAGTTCTGCGAAAGGGTTTATTTGGAAGTTGCTTCACATTTTTTTATTTTTAAAAGAGTGGCAAAAACATACATAAAACATTTGACAATACAGCCATTTCTGCATTGTATAATTCGGTAACATTGATTACATTCTCTGTGTTGTACAACCATAATCACTGTCCTTTTCTGATATTTTCTGGCACCATTAACATTATTAATTCAGTGCTTCTTAATCAATAACCCTCCCTCCCCTCCTCCCTTCCAGTCCTGATAAGCACTTTCGATTTTGATTTGTTGTTGTTATGTGCCGTGGAGTCGGTTCTGACTCATAGCGACCCTGTACAGAGTTTCCGAGGCTGTAAATCTTTACGGGAGCAGAACGCCTCATCTTTCTCCCGCAGAGCAGCTGGTAGTTTCGAACTGCTGACCTTGCGGTTTGCAGCCCGATTCATAACCACTACGCTAGTATATTTGGCTATTTCCTATAAGTAAGACCAAAAGGTATTGGTTCTTTTGTCTTACTGTCTTTTTCCCTGCCCAAGTCAAGAACCATCTATCCATCCCAGCAACTTTCCCAGCCTGCCTTAGTCCATCTGCTTCCCTCCTCCTCTTTTTTTTTTTTTTAAAGTTTTATTGTGAATTATGTGATACTTTACATGGGTACATGGGAGAACATTAGTTTTACATTCATCCTATTGTATATTGTTTCATTGCCATGGTTACAATCCCTTTCCTCCTTTTTTGATTGTCATTAAGGACTACGAGTCTCGACTTTGATCTTGGCGGCTCAGCATCTGAGCTGCCATGGAAAAGTCAGATGGCACAACACCAGTGGGCCACCTCACCTACCTTTAGAGTGGGTATGTACATGGGAGTGTCTCATGGCAGTTCTTACATTTTATATGTTGTTGTTGTTAAGTGCAGTAGAGTCTGTTCTGACTCATGCTGACCCTGTATAGGGTTTCCGAGGAGCAGCTGGTATAGTTGAACCACCAACCTTGAAGTTCAAACTAACCTTGTAGTTGTATCAAGTGTCAACTTGACTAGGCCATGAGTCCTACCTACTCTTGTGAAGTCTTCTTGTACCTGTGTTCCTGGGCACATGTGGCCAAGCCTGGGAGTTTCTATACCACCACACCAGGACTCTGACATCTTCTGTATATAAAGCCCCAAACCAAATTCATTGTTGTCAAATCTTTCCTGACACATAGTACACCTATAGGACAGTATACAAAAGTCCCACAGGGTTTCCAAGATGGTAAATCTTTATACCGTTCTCCTGGGGTGCAAGTGGATGGTGGGTTTGAATCACTGACCTTTGTGTTAGTAGTCAAGGGTTTAGCCATTGTGCCACAAAGGTTCCCTCATCTGACATGTAACGACCATCAACAGAAGCATGTGCAGGATGGAGGGAGGGTTAGGAATGGGAATGAGGTTGGAGAGAGAATGTAATTGGACGTGGAGTGAGACCATCTGAGAAGAGTACGGGGGGTGATCTGTGGATGGGGTTAGGGATGTGTTTGAAACGGGATGGGTTTGAGTTGGAGATAGTGTTGGGGTAAAATGAAGTTGGGGATGGGACTGGGAATGAGAATGGGTTGGGAATGCAGATAAGGTTGGAGAGAGGGTTGAGAATGAGTTAAGGGTGGTACTGGGTTGAGGGATGGGAATAAGGTTGCAGATAGGTTTGAGAGTGAGTTGGAGATGGGACTGGGTTAGGACTGGAGACGGGGATAGGATTAGGAATAAACTGGGGATATGACTGAGCTAGAGATGGGATTGGGCATGTACTTGGGGTGGAATTGGGTTGGGATTAGGATGGCAAAGCAGATGAGTTGAGGTTGGTTGAGGGCAAGGGCTGCCCTACTCACTGGGGTCGGGTTGGTTGCACAAGTCTGAATCGCACACAGTCTCTGACAGGGTGATGATCTGTGGACCGGTTCGGTAGCTCATGCTTCTGGTGGTCTTCTCCCGGTGGGCACATCCTTTCTCCACCACCACCTGCTCTTCGCCCTCTGTAAGGAATATATATGTGTCACCCCAGAAGCTCCCTGGACCCAACAAGCTTTTGACACTCTTAGAACTAACCCCTGTCATGTCTCTTGTCTTGTTTGGCTTTAATTCTGTCTCTCCCAGGGTTATCCACCACCCCAACCCCCCCATACCGGAAGCCTATCCCGTCAGTGGCAACAGTGTCACCAGGACCTTCTAGATCCATCTGCTCCTTTAGTTTAATGAGCTCAGCAGGGAGGTGCCTCCAATAGGAATATTTAAAGGGAAATGCTTCAAATTTACTGTGGAACAGAGTGACTTGATATAGGCCTTCTATCTACAGCCTTTGTGACTCTCGTATAGTGATTGGCTGAGACCACACCAATAAGGTGTATGGAGCTTTATGATGGTTGGGATCAGGTGTCAACTTGACTAAGCCATGATTCCTACCTACTTTTGGGAGTTTCTATGCTGTTAACCACAGGTTAGTAGGTCAAATTCACCAGTGGAGAAAGATGACGAGAGTGACAGCTTCGGAAACCCTATACAGGGTCACTATGAGTGGGAACCGACTCCACGGCACACCATCACCATGGTTCTAGGACTCAAACTGCTGGCTGTCGTGGTGCTAATCTCCAGTGTACCGGATAGTGTCAAACTGTGCAGTAGATGCCTGGTGTGGTGCTACAGGATGAGCATTGGGCTGTTAACCACAAGGTCGGCAGTTCAAACCCACCAGTTGCTCCTCAGAAATCCTATACAGGGGCGCTATGAGTTGGAACCAACTCAAAGGCACTTAACAACATTTACCACCAGTGTGATCGGGTGCTAGGCATCCCCATCAACCAGCTGTTGTCAGATGGTTAAATGCTTGCCAAATGTGCATTTTGTGTGCATTTCTCTGATTGCTGGTGACTAAGGTTGCTTGGTCTCTAGCACCAACCCCCCTTGCGTTTCAGTGGGGGACTCACCTTCCCACACTCTCAGGACGGTGGTCCTACAAAGGTCCTGGCCCGTGTCCATTTGACAAGGCCCATTCCTCTCACACAGCAGGCATTGAAGGCCCCAGGAAACTACAGGCGGAGGGACGGAGGGAGGAAGGAGGCAAGGTTGTTAGATGCTCCTCGCTAGGATTCCCTTTTCCACCCACAGGTCCCAATACCAAGATCCAGCCTCCGGACTTAGTCCACTCACGTCCCAGCTTCGGGTTCTGTTCCAACGCTGGCTCCAGTGACATTTCTATCTCTAGCCCACCGGTCTTATCTGCCCCCACAAGTACTCCACTAAAATCCTACCATCCTCTGTTTCCCTTTTTTTTTTCAAATGTTTTATTGTGAAGTATGTGATAGTTTACATGGGAGAACATTAGCTTTACATTCATCCTATAGTGTATCGTTTCATTGCCATGATTACAATCCCCTCCATGCATCATTCAAGCAAAGGGTATACCCTGCAAGCCTGCCCCTTCCGCCCGCCCCCCACTCCCCTACCCCCTGGAGCGTCAGCCCACAGCCCCTCTCTTTGTGGGTCTAAATCGGTTTCTCTTTCAATTTTGTCCTTGAGGGGTGTGTCCTGAATACGAGCTCCGCCCTCTCTGCCTGTTTAGACCTCAGAGCTCTGCCCAGGTTTAGGCCCTTTCCCACATCCCCCAGCTCTCCTAGGGGCGTTCTTTGCTCACTTTGCCCCCTCTTTCTTTAAATTCTACAGGATTCTCCCAGTTCTAAACTCTCCCTGCTCACGAGAGAGTCCAGGTTCTGTTGTTCTGAGGTGCCCTCTAGTGGATTTCTGACTCCTAGTGACCCCAAGTAACAGACTAGAACGGCCTGTAGGGTTTGTTAGGTTGTAGCCCTGGTGTGGCTCTGTAAGATAAGCACTGGACAGAAAGGACGGTTTGAACCGCAAGGCTGGCCGTTCAAACTCACCAGCTGCTCCTTGGAAACCCTATAGAGGTCGCTATGAATCAGAATCGATTCTAGGGCACTTAACAACAAATCTTTACCAGGGAGTCCATACAGGGTCGCTATGCATCAGAATAGATTCTTCCGCATGTAACAATTTAACAACAATAACAAATCTTTACCAGGGAGTCCATACAGGGTCGCTATGCATCAGAATAGATTCTTCCGCATGTAACAATTTAACAACAATAACAAATCTTTACCAGGGAGTCCTGGTGTGTAAGGTCGGTTTGAACCACAAGGTTGGCGGTTGAAACTCACCGGCCGCTCCTCAGAAGCCATGTACAGGGTCGCTATGAGTCAGAAACATCTGGACCGCACTTACCAACAACAATCTTTACCAGGGAGTCCTGGTGTGGCGTTGTAGGTTAAGCACTGGTCTGTTAACCACAAGGTTGGTGGTTCAAACCCACCAGCGGCTCCTTGGAAACCCTATACAGGGTCGCTATGAGTTGGAACAGACTCAATGGCACTTAACAACAACAATCTTTGCCGGAGCTTCAGGGTGGGTTGGAACCTCCACCCTGTTAGCAGCCAAGCCTTTAAACTGCCATATTCTAGACCCACTCAATAGCCCCTCCCTAACATTCTCTTCCTGTGAGCTAATGCGCAGGACTGCAAAGTCGGTTTGAAGCGGAAGGTCGGTGGTTCAATCTCACCAGCTGCTCCCTGGGAACCCTATACACGGTCGCTATGAGTTGTCGCTATACGGGGTGCTCTGGTAGCATAGTGGTTACGAATCGGGCTGTGAACCGCAAGGTCAGCAGTTCGAAACTACCAGCGGGAAAGTTCCGCGGGAGAAAGATGAGGCGTTCTGCTCCCGTAAAGATTTACAGCCTCGGAAACCCTGTGCAGGGTCGCTATGAGTCAGAACTGACTCCACGACACTTAACAACAACAACATGGGTAACAAACGACTCTACGGCACTTAACAACAACAATATTCTCCTTCAGCCCATCAGTCCTTCCGGAAGTTCTAGCCCTGCTCTCCAGCTTCTCCTCACGGTTTTACCCCACCCATTCTCCTCCCCCAAAATTCTCTTCCACCTAACAACCCAAACCCACGGCTATCTGGTGGATTCCTACTCACAGCGGTCCTATAGGGCAGAGTAGAAGAGCCTCATAGGGTTTACAAGGCGGAATATCTTTATGGGAGAAGACAGTCTTCAACCTTTCTCCCACGCGTGACTGGAGAGTTCAAAGTGCTCACCTTTGGGTTAGCCATGGGCGCTTAACCACTACACTACTGGGCTACTTCTCCATCAAGGCTACTTTCCCACCCATCACCCAAAAAATCTGGTACTGTGAGTTAATGCGCTAGACTGCAAAGTCGATTTGAACCGCAAGGTCGCCAGTTCAAGCTCACCAGCCACTCATCGGAAACCCTATACAGGGTCGTTATGGGTTGGAACCGACTCGATGGCACTTAACAACAACAACAACAATTAGGGCGACTTCCCCACCCACCACCCCAAAAAATCAAACCCCTTTCGGACATTCATAGCAACCTATTGGACAGAACGGAACTGTCCCACGGGAGTTTCGAGGCTGTAAATCTTTACAGAAGCTGACTGCCCCATCTTTCTCCCGCGGAACAGCTGGTGGCCTTGTGGTTAACAGCGCAATGCTTAACCCACGGCGCCTTGCCCATCAGTCCATCCCAAAGTTTTAACCCCTCCCACCAAATCCTTAGCTGACCTCTCTCTCCAGCGCTCGAGTTTAGCGTCCCCACCCGTTATTCATTTTCGGGCCCCCAGCGGCCTGGAGAGCCTTCCGAGTTATTCATCTCTTATCCGACCCCCTTCACACCCGCCGTGACCTGACTCAGTTCCTTCTCAATTTCCTTTCATTTCTCAACCGGTCTCCCTCACCCCTCGTTTTCCGGGGGAAGCAGGCTAAAGAGCCACGTAGGCGAGGCATTAGTGAAAGGGCAGTGTCCTCAAGGGACAAGCCCTGGATCCCATCCCCTACCCCCTACCCCCACCCACCTCTTCAAACCCTTGTTGCTCTGAGCTCGGTCTGCCTCTCGCTGGACCTTCTGTAAAATAAGCTTGTGGTTCTCCGACAGAGTGGGAGCCTCCGCTGGGGACTCCATGGAAGGGTCAGAAACCCACTTCTTCCAGGACCGGCTGTGTGACTCCGGCCAATTACTGAACCTCTCTGTGCTACGGAGCTAATCCTGGTTCCTTCCGCCCAGTAAGGAGCCCGGCACAAAGAGAGCCAAAGAATCGACTCCCAAGTCAAATCCACTGCCACCGAGTGGATTCCGACACATAATGACCCTAATGGACGCAACAGAATTGCCTCGTAGGGTTTCCGAGGCTGTCAGTAATTATGGAAACTGAAGGGCATGTCTTTCCCCCAAGGCGCGACCGGTGGGTTCAAATGACACACTTTTCGGTTAGCAGTGGAACGCTTAACCACTGACCATCTAGGATCCCTCGTTGAAGAGCGATTGTGTTAAATGCCTTCGATCAAGGAATTCTTGTGTGCCAGGCACTGCGGATTATTATACTCAGGATGGGATTAGTGACTACTTCCTCCTTCCCAATCCCTCAGGCCCTGACAGCCTTCCCCACCCCTCACCAGAGCCGGTTTCCCGCGCAGGCGTCTGCGCAGCCCTACCTGGGATGCAGGTGAGAGCCAGCAGCAGCAGTAGCCGTGGATGACCCATAGCTGGCAGGTAGCTCCTCTGCGCGGCGCTCCGCACCACTCCTCTCGGACTGGCACCGAACAAGGCAACAGTTTTGTGGCCCCGGGGACTCCTCCCCCAAACTTTTTGCGAAAGAGCGAGTCAGCTAAGCCGCCTCCTCTTACACACACACACACACACACACCCACACACACTTCCCTACTCCGGGTGCGGCCAGGAGAGGAGGGAGTGAGGGACTGGCTCTCTCCTGACTCATTGTCGGTGGTCACAGTCTCTCCTCAAACTGCCTGAAGGCAAATTCCAGTTCTGTCTTTTCCTGCTGTCTAACCTCCGGCCAGATGCCTCACTCCTCACTTCCCTCCTTTGTGAAACAGGAACAGAAATTTGGCTGCAGATTGACAAAGTAGAACTACCCCTTGCTGTTAAGTGCCGTCGAGTCGGTTCTGACCCATAGCGACCCTGTACAGGGTTTCCGAGGGTGTAAATCTTTACGGGAGTAGAAAGCCTCATCTTTCTCCCGCGGAGCGGCTGGTAGTTTCGAACCGCTGACCTTAAGGTTCGCAGCCCGAGTCGTAACCACTACGCTACCAGAGCTCCTTAGAACTACCCCTTAGGATGTAATATCCACAGGAGCAAAACATCCTCATCTCCCAACCCGGGAGCAGGTGGCCAACTCGGTGGGTGTTAGCAGCCCAACGCTTAACCCACCACACCACCAGGGCTCCTTGATTGTTGCATAATATTAGGAGGTTTTGTTAGGAGGAATAATGGTACTGTGGCAAAGTTCTCTGATCATTTAGAGAACGCTATAATATTGGGAAATGAAATAGCAACATGTGTATTGTTGGTAGGTGCCAACTCATAGCGACCCCATAAACAACAGAAGAAACTCTGCCTGGTCCTGGGCCAACCTCACAATCATGGCTATGCCTGAGCCCAGCCCTGATTTCACGTCCACCATGGTGCCAATCCATCTCATTGGGAGCCTTCCTCTTTTTCTCCCACCCTCCACTTTAGTTTACCCAAAAACACTTTTGGGGTGGGAGGGAAGAATGGTTTTGTGGTAATGTGGGAAAATATTCTTATTCTTAATATATACCTATTGAAGTGTTTAGGGGCAAATGCTATTGATGTCTATGTTGTTGTTGTTGTTAAGTGCCGTCAAGTCAGTTCCAATCCATGGCGACCCTGTATAGGGTTGCTGAGAAGCAGCTGGTGAGCTTGAACCATCGACCTTGCAGTTCAAATGGCTTTGCAGTCTGGCGCATTAACCCACAGCGCCACACCAGGAGTCCATTGATGTCTATAAACAACAACAAATCCATTATCACTATCAATCCCAACTCAGAGGAGCTCAGGTGACACACTGGTTAGAGCACTGGGCCGCCATCCAAAAGTTCTGTGTTTGAAGCCATCAGTCGCTCCATGAGAGAAAGCTCTGGCAATCTGCTTCCTTAAAGATTTACAGTCTTGGTAAACCTAGGGGCAGTTCCACTCGGTCCTACTGGGGCCCTGTCTGTGAGTTGAATTGATGTCTATTTACTTCAAAATACTGCAGGAAAGAAAAATAAAGGCAAATGGTAAAATATGAATATCAATTATACCAAGGTTGTTGTTGTTAAGTGCCGTCTAGTAAGGCTCCAACTCACAGCTACCCGGTATAGGGTTTCCAGGGAGCGGCTGGTGAGTTTGAACTACCGACCTTATGGCTCAAACCAACCTTTCGGTCTAGTGCTTTATCCCACAGTGCCACACCAGGACCTATACCAAGGTTTTTGTTGTTAGGTGCCATTGAGTTGGTACTGACCCATAGCGACCTTATGCACAGCAGAACGAAACACTGCCTGATCCTGGGCCAACCTCACTACTATTGCCACACTTGAGTCCATCGATGCTGCCACTGTGCCAATCCATCTTGTTGGGGGTCTTCCTCTTTTTCTCTGACCCTCCACATTACCAAATATGATATCCTTCTCCAGTGACTGGTCCCTTCTGACAATATGTAGCAGACATAAATATGGAGGCTCATTATGGGATTCTGTCTTCTCTCTGTGGCTTTGACAATGTTCACAATAAAACCTGCTACCATGGAGTTAATCCCAATTCACAGAAACTCTATAAGACAGGGTAGAATTGCTCCATAGGGTTTCCAAGACTGTAACTCTTTGGTGGTGGTCGTGGTTATGTGCCGTGGAGTCGGTTCCGACTCACAGCGACCCTGTAGGGGGTTTCCAAGGCTGTAAATCTTTACGGAAGCAGAAAGTCTCATTTTTCGCCCGCAGAACAGCTGGTAGTTTAGAGCTCTTGGGCAGTAAATTGCTACATCTTTCTTCTAAAGAGCAGCTGGTGGGTTCAAACTGTCAACCCTTTCAGTTAGCAGCACACTGTGATGCTGGGGGCTCCTGATGTTCATAAGTTTAAAAGAGAAAAGAAAAATATAATCTCCATGTTTTAGGATGTTTCTGACCAATCAGATCAAGTTAATACCAGTGAAATGCTGGAACCGTTGGTAGCCCACATTGATCAGAATTCTTCCTCAATGGTTTACTGAGAACCTACTTTGTGCCAGAAATTGGGGACACAGCAGAGAAGAAAGCCAAGTCTCTGTGTTGGTGGCATCGGCACTGTCAGTGTGACACTAATTTATCCATATCAGGAAGCGATGAGTGAAACGGAGAAAAACAAAACGGAGGTGAAACATGAGGGGAGGGATGAGACACTTTGGGTGGGTGAAGGAGAGGGCTCTTCTGAGTGGGTGGCATTTGGGCAGAGGCTGCATGCAGCCATGGAGAATGAAGTTGGGTAGCTTTATACCAGAAGAGACTCCGGGGGTGGGGTGGGGTGGAGGCAGGGACTCAAAAACCAAAGCAAACCCATCGTCACTGAACTCGTTCTGATACTTAGTGACCCTATATAGAGTTTTGAGAATGTCAATCTACACAGCGCAGACAGCCTCATCTTTCTCCTTTGGAGCAGCTGATAGCTTTGAACCACCAATCTGTGGTTAGCAGTCCAGTGCTGATCCTATAGTACCACCAGGGATCCTTAGGGGGAAACAACAGGTCTTAGGAACAATGGAGACGCCAGTGTGGAGAGACCAGAGAAGGGGAGGGAAAGGGTCGGTGTTGTTAAGTACTGTCGGTTCTGACTCACAGTCTATACATATAATATCTATGTTGTTGTTAAGTGCTGTCGCATCAGTTCCTACCCATAGCGACCCTGTATAGGGTTTTTGAGGAGCAGCTGGTGAGCTTGAACCACCAACATTGCAGTTCAAATGGACTTTGCAGTCCGGCGCATTAACCCACAACACCACACTAGGACTCCATATGGATTTCATGTATAGGTTTAGTGTATGTATATACGTCTCGTCTCTATGCATAGGTCATTTATACCTATACTAAACCTATACATGGAATCCTTCCATGGCGGTGAATCGGAACCAAATCAATGGCACTTAATAATAAAATAACAATATATCTACATATAACAACTTTTTGTAGGGTTTCTGAGGAGTAGCTGGTGGATTTGAACCATGGACCTTACAGTTCAAACTGACCTTGCGGTCCAGTGCGGGTCCTACAGCGCCACACCAGGACTCCATAGATGATGAATAAGTAATAGCTACCACTCCTGGTGTGGCGCTGTAGGATCCGCACTGGACTGCTAACCACAAGGTCAAGGTTGGTGGTTCAAACCCACCAGCCACTCCTTGGGAACCCTATACACAGGCACCACTATGAGTCAGAACGGACTCAACAGCACTTAACAACAACAACTACCCCCAATATGGGGTCTTGATGTGGCATTGTAGGATAAACACTGGACAGCTAACCTAAACTGGCAGTTCAAACCCACCAGCTGCCCCTCAGAAACCCTATGCAGAGTTGCTACAAGTTGGACCAACTCAATCGCACTTAACAACAACAACCACCCCCAATAGAAACCCTGGTGATATAGTAGGTTTCACGTTGGGATACTAACCGAAAGGTCAGTGGTTCAAATCTACCCGCCACTCGAAGGGAGAAAGCTGAGGCTGTCTGTTCTCCCATAACAATTTACAGTCTCAGAAACCCAAAGAACAGTTCCATTCTGCTCTGAGTCAGGATTGACTTGATAGCAGTGGTTTGGTTTGATTTTTGGTATCACTTCCAATAAAGAGTCTTGGTGGTTCAAACCCACTGCCAGCCACACATCTTGGAAGAAAGATGTGGCAATCTGTTCTTTTTTTTTTTTTTTTTTTTATGTTTTATTGTTAATTATGTGATAGTTTATATGGGAGAGCATTAGTTTTACATTCATCCTATTGTGTATTGTTTCATTGCTATGGTTACAATCCCCTCTATGCATCATCAACCAACCAAAGGGTATATCCTGCAAGCCTGCCCCTCTGTTGTCAGCACACAGTCCCTCTCCCTCTCTGTGTCTGAAGTCCCCAGCTGCTCCATCTCTCCAGGTCATCGTCTCTGCCTCCATCTCAGGCATCACTACTTCTCTGGGTAGGGTCCCGCTCTCCGCTCTTCTCCCTTGATGGTGCCAGGGACCTCCGCTCCTAGACTGCAAAGTTAATCACTCCCCTCCTTGCTACATAACATCTACCTTTACATCTCTAACCCTCACAGTCAGTCCTGATAACAATTATTCACTAGTGTATCACAAGAGACCTATCCGCATTTCCTTTCATCAGCCCCACCTAGACAGATTGGATACAACTCAGTGGAGACTCTACCTTCCTCCACACCCTCTGGATCTAGATTCCCTCTTGAAAGCTTGTAAGCCAGTCACTTCTTGCCTTTGTAGCCCCTCATTTTGGGTAGCCAATGTCCAAGTTGCCCATCCCTGTCTACTGTGTGTATGGAGAGGGTGGGAATGATCTTTGCTGTAAAGATTTGTTCCATCTTTTGAGCTACTGCATCCATAGGTGTAGGTCAAGTTCATCAAATTGTATCAGATTACTCTTTTTGTCCTCTTCTTTCTTCTTGCAGCAATCTGTTCTTGAGGAGACGATATCCTTGGAAACC